AGCCTCAAACAAGCAAAACCACTAAGGGGAACACGGGGCTCTAGGGTCTTGTTTAATGTCTATCTGTGCTTAGAATCCTGTATTCACCATGACCAATAAAGCTACTTAACCATCGGGCCATAAAATGAACTTTCAGAAGGACTTAGCTCCCCCTCTGCATGTATGTATGCACATGCGTGCACACACGTGCACACACACACACACACACTCCCTCTCTCTCCACATACAGTTTTGTTTTGTAATGCTGGGTTGGAACTCAAAGTCGGGCACATTTGAGTTCCAAGTAGACGAGCACTCTGGTACCCAGCCTTCAAACACACCCCATCACATCCCGTGTCCCTTCCTCACCCTGGATGCAGAAGCAGCCTGTCCTTACTATCCTTAGTTTCCGCATCCAAGAGAACACAGAAGCAGGGTTCAGAGCTGCGGAGATCTCAAGAGACCGCGGAGTCATCACCCACCACAACTCCCATGCCTGCTTCTCCAGCCACCAAGCCAAGCAATCAGAACCCCTTAAGGTCCAGACAGGAAGGGCCCTGTGCCCTGGTGGTTCTGCTGATGTCAACAAAGGGGAACTTGGTGCACAGGGGAGGAAAGGGATACCCTCCTCTGGCAAGCAGAGGGAAGGTCGCCTGACCTCAACCTGGTCTCTGCCCAAACCAACTGTCTCTAGACCAAGAAACTTCAGAACTCACCCAAATCCTAGCCAGAGTTAAACCCACAGGAGACAAGGGTTCTTGCTCCTCTCTGAGTCTGAGCAAGAGGTGTCCTTTCCAACCACCCCACCCTCTGCACAAGGGCCCTTCTCTACCGCAGCTGGAAAACAAACACATGTTCGCATTTACGTGGCCAAGTGGACTCACAGGTGAACTACCAAAAAGCATTTTTGAAGGATTTTCTGAAGAGTTTAACCAGCCTGAACTTGCCAGGCAGCCCCACTGCAAATCGCTGATCCCAGCAGGCTGGGGCCAAAGGGTGCTGGCAAGGCTGGGCCGGAGCAGGAGATGGACGAAGGTGTGGAGCAAGGACAAGGCAGGGCAGGGCCGCCGGGGCAGGCTTAGGGAGCCCGCCGTAAGATGAGCTCTGTGATTTCTGCTCTGCTCCCCAACCTCATGGGGATCCCATAGTAGGCTGTGCCCGGACTGACGTACACAAATGTAGCCTGGCCCACTTGGTAGAGGCCGGCAAAGAAAGGGTTCAGGAGATAGGCTGCAACATTCCAGGGGAAGATCTGCCCGGCGTGAGTGTGTCCGGAAAGGATCAAGTTTATATCTGGCCGCGCCTGGAGGGCTCTCTTGGCGGCCAGGGGCTGGTGAGCCAGCAAGATGGTGGCATCATCCGGGCTGCAGCCCTCCAGAGCCTTCTCAAGGTCCATGCCATGGCCCGAGTAGTGAAGGATGTCTGCTTCTATGTCATCCACGCCCGCCAAGCAGACCCACTCCGTGTCGGCCCCACGGCCGCCCTGGTCCCTGGGGGCGGAAATCTTCACGTTCTCATTATGCAGAGGCCGAACATGCAAGGATTCCAGCAGGGTGAACCAGTTGCTGACGTCTGACGTGTAGTACTCATGGTTACCCGTGACAAAGTAGGTGCCAAGACGGGAACGGAGCTGGCCCAAAGGAGCAACTGCCGTCCGCAGGATGGAGGCTTCCGAATCGGAGAGGTCCCCCACGATCACTGTGATGTCTGGCTCTAGCGTGTTCACCATCCTCACAAACATCTCCATCTTGGTCCTGCCCACCGTGGGCCCCAAGTGAATGTCCGAAAGGAGCACTATCTTGAGGTTATTCATGGAGGTGGGTAGCTGATGGATGGGCACCTCCACGGTTTTCACCACTGGGGGCTGCGCAGCGTTCAGAAGGCCAATGGTACTGAGCACAGCTGTCACCGCCACGGCCAGGGCAGGCCTGAGCACCAGGTGCCTTGTCTTGTCAAGGCTGCCCACCACCCTACCGCTGCGCCAGGCTAAGAACTGGTAGGCCTGCTCCATGGCATTCAAGATACAAAGGAAGAAAACCATGATGATGTAAGCGCCCAGGCAGGAGTAGGCTGCTAAGGAAAACACGTAGGGTTCCTCGGCCACCAAGAAGAGCATGGTGAAGAAACTGGAATGTGCCAGGGCCAGGAATGCCATGACAACCAGCTTCCAAAGCTGGAAACAGGTCGATTCCACGGCAGGGGAATGGCTGAGGTTGCTTACGGTGCTCCGCCAGATGTACAAGGAACCAATGAGCATGAGCGAGTTGACAAACAGGGCCAGCTGCAGGCGGAAGAGCCAGCGCCAGGCCCGGAGCTCAAGGGTCTCAGCCAGAAAGGAGCGGGAGAGGATCATGGACACGAAGACTGTGGCTGCCGCCAGGGCAGCCTTGGAACCCAGGGACAGCTGCCGGAAGAGGGCCATTCTCTCAGCTCACGAGGAGTCCCCAGCAGCTCAGGCAGAGGGAACTCTGGAAGGCAAGGGACTTCTTTACAAAGGACAGTGGCCAGTGAGAGACTTCCAGATCAGCTCCGCCTGCAACCAGGAACTGGTATCAGCTTTATGGGAAAGATCATTAAAACATTCTTGTCCCCATTCAATAAAAGACCAGAGACCACTCACACAGCTCCTGCCTGCCTCAGATCCAAGCCACTTCAATGCCAGTTGCTTGCTATTCTTCATTATTAAAATACGCCACAATCGTGGCAGGATATGCAATGGACAGTTTTGTTTTGTTCTCTCCTTCTTTCTGTTCTTTTGTGACAGGTCTCGTGTAGGTCAAGCTGGCCTAGAAGCCATAAAGCAGCCAAGTATACCCTGAGCTTCCAATCCTCCTCCTTTCCCCTAACAAGTGCGGGGATTATAGGCGTGTTCTACCACAGGCAGGCGGTTTACGGGGTTCTGAGGATGGAATCGAAGGCTTCGCGCATGCTACGCAGGCATTCTACCAGCCGGGCCTCAGTTTCCATGTCTTAACAGTGTTTTGTATTTTAAAGGTTCCCCGCATGGGGTATGAATTGTTGCCTTTTCTGAATAATAGGAGAAATATTCTAAATGATCAGCTGTCAGTGTAAAGTCTAGGGAACGTCTTTCCCTGAGTCAAAACTACTCTCGTAACAATATTAAACCATCACTGCCTTGCCATGCTCTCTTCCAGTGAGTGTACAATAGAGTTTTTCAAAGACCACCAACACGCGAGTTCCCCGAAGACTGCAAAGTTCAACAGAAAAAGCTGAGTTCTGGGAATGGGGTGTAGCTGAGGGGTTGGTAGAGCGATGAGAACGAACAAAGCCCTGGGTTCCACCCTCAGCATCACATAAGCAGGCATGGTGGTGCATACCTCTGTCCCCGGCATTTGAGAGGCGAAGGCAGAAGGATCAGAAGTTCAAGGCTATGTCTGACTACACACCAAGTTAGAGGCCAGCCTGGGCTTCATGAAACCCTGTCATTAAAAACAAAAGAACAGACTTCTCTTAACATCATTGCGACCCTGTCTGAAAACTCTGAGATACTTCTTTTTCATACAATGTATTTTGTACAATTGATTTATGGCTTCTTAAGAAAGTACACATTTTATGGCCTTTAATCCCAGCACTCTGGGAAGCAGAGCCAGGCAGACCTCTAAATTCAAGGTCATCTTGGTCTACAGAGTGAGTTCCAGGACAGCCAGGGCTACATAGAGAAATCCTGTTTCCAAAAAAACAAAAACAGAAAAAGAAAGTACACATTTTAACTCATCTTCTAGGACTAAAGTTTGAGAGTTAACAAATGAGTTTGCAAATGCAAAAAAAAAAAAAGAAAGAAAAAAGCCGTCGACTGTTATTTTCCTTTGGCTCTAGTCTAACAGCTCAAGAGGGTACCTAGATTCCTGATGAGACAGCAGCCTCTGCAGGGGCCTCTCCCAGGGCATCTTACCTGGCATCTCCTACTACTCACCTGGTGACTTACATCTGACTGATGACCTCCATAAATCCTTATCTCTTCCTGCCCTTACTGATACTAAAGGAGTTCCGCCCTCTACCCATTAGCCTCAACTGGTTCTCAAGGACGGCAAGCTCTCGCGGAGCAGCGGGCACACTCAACTTGCCATAAATGAAAGCATTCTCAGCAACTGTTTTCCAAAATCTTAAAGTTTCACCTCTGGTTTTAGATAAACGTGTGCCATTTCCAAGAATGTAATTTTTACAAGGCTCAAAGTCTACTAACTTGCTCTTTAACTTACTCCCTCCCCCCCCCCCCAGTCCATATGGAGGGCCCCACGCTGATTCGCTCAAAGTGCAAAGAAGCAGCCGCGTCCTACCACGCACTGTCCCCTTCACAGGTTCGGTGTGGACCTCCCCAGGTGAGTGCCCAACCCACCTCAGCCACTCACCGCCCCCCCCCCCCGCCCACGCCGCCGAGATCTCGCCTGAGGCAGTTTGCTCTTCCCACCCTACACCCTAAAAGAGGAAAGGCTTCCAGCAAGGTGATGAAACACCCCAAACTAAAAGCAGCCAGCAGGTGGCTAGCGAGAAGCGGACAAGATATTTGAGAAGGGAAAAAGCAAATATATCTGTGACCCCACTGCAGGAGCCTCTCCTGACCCCATTTTTCTCCTTCCGGAGCGCTCCGTGAAGCCAGAACTCCGCAAAGATTGCACTACACGCCACGGCCCGCGGAGCCCTCCCGCAGCCCCCCGCGCAGCCTGGAGCCCCTCTCCCCAAACACCGAAGCTGGAAAGCTGCGGGCGCACCTCAACCTAGCCCTCGACCGCGTTGCACAAACGGGGAAGCAAGTCCGCGCGCAGGACACAGCCGCAGCGGAACCCACGCGCGCCAGCAACCAGGAAGGACGCGCGCCCCGCCCGACCGCCGGCCCGCCCCCTACGGGAGGCCTGACCACTGCCTGCGCCTCGGCGGCCTGCCTGCTCCGAGGGGTGACCGAGGGTCCCCCGGATTCCCGCTTTGCAGAGCCACGGCTCTCCTCGGCCTCTGGCCGCTTCCCAGCGGCGGAGCGTCCCCGCGCGGTGGCACCGAAGACTTACATAGACGCCGTGCGCAGCGCCCAGCAGCAGCGGCGCCGGGAGCAGGAGCAGCGTGCACAGCGGGACCCGGAGCATGACGGCAATCGGGAGGAATCTCTCCATTCGGCCGGGGGCGCTCGGGCCAGCCGCTGCACCTCCCGGGGAGTTGAGGACCCTCAGCCTGGACCCGCCCCAAAAGGACCCGCCCCCAGCTCCGCCCCTTTCCGCCCCGGGGCTATTGGCTCGGAGTGAAGCCCTAGCCTCTCCTGTCCACGTGACTCCGGAGCAGATGTTGTTTAATCATTTCCCGCATCTGAATGGCAGCTCCGCTGAATCAGCCTCGGTTATGCGCAGGGGTTGGTGATCCACGAGGGCCTTCAGGCTGTCCCGGCTACCAGGAAAGAGCTGGACAGGGAAGAGGAAAACAACCAGTCCTCGGTGCTCCGGGCAGTAGAAGCCTAGCCCGGTAGACCCTCCCTAGCACGTGGTCTAACCCTCACGAGGTGTGGTCCACAGGCCAGGCGACTTAAACTTGGAAAAGACTCAAGCTGGTCCCCAGCCCCGGTGCCCTGACACACACAGACTCTAGGACAGCACCCAGCTCTGAGTTTCAGTGCACGCGAAAAGTTGGAGAAGCGCTGTGCTAGGTTCCTGAGGAATTCTAAGTGTGACTCAGCTAGGGTGAAGTTATTTTCAACTGCTAGCCTTGGGCTGCCTTGAATTTTAGTGGTGAGAACAGCAGCAGTTCCCATCGGTAACTTCTGGTCTATTGCCCCCTGTTTGTTGGAATTAGTCATGTGCCACCTCCCCTGGTTTAAGTGAAGTTGATTTAAATGTGCAGACGTAGGATTTTTCCAGCTTTAATTAGTTATCATTTATAACAATATTCATTTATTTTAAGCACCGTTTCATTTTTATTTATCTATTTATTTATTTTTGCAGTGCTGCGGGTGGTCACAGGTCCTCATTAATGCCAGGCAAGTAAGTACTCTACTGTTGGGCCATACCCCAAACCCCTAGTCTATTTCTTTATTTCCTTGTGTTCTCTTATTTATTTATCTATCTGTTTGTTTATTTATTTATTTATGAGACAGCTTCTTACTATGTATCCTCTGACCTTCACATGTACACCATGGCACACACTCATGGACACTCATAAATACACATTTATTTATGTATACATGTATACAGAACATGAACATGTATATGGAAATATACACTATATACATACAATATATGAATAAATAAATATCCTAAGTAAAGTTTTTTTTTTTAATTTAAGTTTTTAAAAACAGGATCTCAAGTAGTACAGACTGTGAGAACTTACTACAGTTTTTGTTGTTGCTGTTTGGGTTTTCTAAGACAGGGTGTCTATTGTGTAGCTCTGGCTGCCCTGAAACTCTCTATGTGGAACAGGCTGGTCTTGATTAAGGGTGTGTACCACTGTCTCCACTCTCACATTCTATTTTGATAATAAATGTGCGGCTAAGTTACATGATTGACAGACAAGAGTTTAAAGTCCTTGTCATTTTCGCACTCAGATCTCTAGTTGGCTATTACAGTTAGTTCCATCCTGGGGGTGGTATGGTGTCTCCACCTTGTAATCATGATGCTCCGGGGGCTGAGGCAGAATTGTCACAAATAAGAGGCTAGTTTGGGTTACATGTCACTTTAGATAATCATCCCTAGACCTGATGTCTCTCCTTAGTAATTCTCCACACGTGAAGCCCTTCACTCACACGCTGCATGTTCAGAGTTGTACGCTCTGCTTAGGGACCAGCTAGACCACTCTCCTACTGCGATGGTGTCAACCCCATTTCTTCTCTTTTTCTTTTTCTTTTTTGTTTTTTAAGACAGGGTTTTTCTGTAACTTTGAAGCCTGTCCTGGAACTTGCTCTTGTAGACCAGGCTGACCTTGAACTCACAGAGATCTGCCTGCCTGCCTCCCGAGTGCTGGGATTAAAGGTGTGCACCACCACCACACAGCTTCAACCCCTATTTCCCTATTTCAACAGTTTAGTAAAGTCTTCATTTTTTTTTTAAGACAGGATTTCTCTGTGTTGCCTGGGCTGTCCTGGAACTCACTCTGTATACCAGGCTGGGCTCATTCTCAGAGATCCGCCTGCCTCTGCCTCCCGAGTGCTGGGATTAAAGGCGTGTGCTACCACCACCCAGCTTCTTCAAATTTTAATGTGCAAGAATAAACTTTTCTTGGGGCCAGGGCGATGGCGTAGCAGGTTAAGACTCTTGCTGTGAAAACCAGTGGAAAGAAATGGTTCCATCCAAGTCCAGCTTGGTAGATCATTGATTTTTTTCTGGGGTTCATTAGAGGAGCCTGGGCGACTCCGAGTAGCTACATTCGAAAAACACACCACCCTTACTCACATGGTTGTGGAATGTGTCCCAGGGTCTTGACCCCTCAACCTTCCTCTTCTTACACACTCAGCATTCCCCAAGATCATCAACAGATGGGTGCAGGGAGGAGTGGTGGCAGGAATCCCAGGTGACCCTCTCCCCAGACCCATGATGATCACATTGCACCTAGCTGCCACTGCCTTGCTTATTTTGTTCTATCGCTGCAAGACCCAAGCAAGTAGTGTTTGGTCCCCTCAGCGGCTTCTGCTTCCTGGTGTTCATCACACCAGTTGGAAAAGGAAATGGTGGCACCACAACCCTCCACCCTTCCTCCAGTTCTACCGCCTCTCAGTCATGTGTCTTTGAGGGGGTGATGTATGTATGATTCTTTCCTAAGCCCTGGGACTCGACACCAAAACAATGTCTGCTTGCTTATTCCCACCAGCTTGCCTGGTTATGAGTCTCCAGCCACCTCCACCCGTCCCAGAAAAAAGTTTCCCTGGACCTCAGCTGAAAACTGCTATATGGGTGTAAACACAAGCACACATCTGCTCACTGAAACAACAGCCTTAGCCTTCCCGTCGGTGGCTAAGACAAGCCAGTCACAGGGTTTCGTCCTGACACACAGGACCTCTGGAGTGGGTAGGGCCTTAAATTCAACCAGACAGTAGTTGATTGTACCTGTAACTGTCATGACACTACTGCATGTAGAATAAATATCTTGTGGCGGTGAGTGGGATCCCAAACTGAGCGGGACTGACGGCAACAATCTTTCTCAGAAGCCGGCAGAGTACCTTCTGGTACTGCGTACGTCAGTTATCAGGAAGGAAACCTCCAGCTCTGCCCCAGCTTGACGTCTCTGTGCCCTTCCACTAGAAGCAAAGGATTTCTCATCCAGCTCTGGTGTGCAGCCACCAACAATGGCAGTGGTGTTTACTATAAGTTCTTAGGTGCCTTCCTGGTCAGCAGCTCTTAAGGTTTTAATCTTCCTGTTCCTGGGATTTTCACCTAACATCCTGTGGCTTCTGGGAGTGCCTTTTTCTCACGTTAAAAAATTATTTTATGACACTTACCTTCCTGGACCTGGAGGGAGGGGGGAGGAACTTGAACTTCCCACAGGGCAGGAAACCCTGACTGCTCTTAGGGATGGAGAGGGAGGAGGAGGGGGAGTAGGGGGAGTGGGAGGGTGGTGGGAGGAGGGGCGGAAATGGAAACTTTTATAATTTAATAAAATTACTTTCCAAAAAAATTATTTTATGGGTATTGTGCCTGCATGTTTGTCTTCTGTGCACCACTTGTGTGCCTGTTGTCTGCAAAGGCCAGATGAAGGTGTCAGATCCCCCAGTGTGTGTGTGTGTGTGTGTGTGTGTGTGTATAGGTCCATACATACCAAAACACACATGTGAAGGTCAGAGGACAACTTGCACCTGACCCTGTCTTTCTGCCTCACTAGGTGGCCAGCACTGATTAAGAAGATAGATATATCACCCCACATCACACAGAGGAAGAGGACCTCTCTGGGGTCTTTGCCAAGGGTCATCCACCTTGCTTTTCTCTGTGGGTAGAAACCTTGACTTTGTTGCTTGTCTCCCCATGACAAATCCTGCTGGGCTAGGTGACGTTCCACCTCCAGACAGCTCAGCTTTGTTTTCGTGTCTTACTACGCTGCCGCTGCTCCTCGCAGACTCATCTTTGCTTCCGCCCAAGATGTTGCTTTTGGGGTACTGACTTATTGTCTCATTTTTCCTGGGGGAGATGTGAACAAATGTCTGTTCACCCTGATATGGTGACGACCCACAGAAATGGTTCCATCCAAGTACCCAAAGAGTTTACTAGGGTGACGGACGGAAGCATGAGTTACTCAGGAACAGCTGCACCATGGCAAAGGGCGACCCCCACACAATCAGGGACCCACAAAAGCTGCATCACTGGAGTTCCCACTCCTAATTAGCCTTCCACTGTGTCCTCTAGCTCCCTCAAGACTGCAAGAGAGTGTAGTTGCCCCACGCTACCGTCTCGCCTGCAAGAACCACGCGGGACACATAGGATACTTCTGCAGAAATAGCTTTAATCCTCTTGGGAGCTAGAGCATAAGCCACATGGCGGAGACCCAGATATGATGGAACCCATCCCTTATATAGGAAACAGACCCTGCTTCGGACGTGTCACTCTTGGATTGGTCCGCTGCTCCCAGTCCTAGGTGATGCCTCGGGAGTAGGCGGGGATGCAGTAGTGGAAAGTTACCAACACGTGTGCGTTCACCTGGCGGTGAAGCCGGATGTCAGCGCCATCTTGATGATGGAGAATGTGGCTGCGGCCCCCCACATCTCCCCCTTATTATTACTGCTTGCAGAAAGGCAACTCCCTCAGAAGGTAAAGATAGAGGTCGCACTTCCCAAAGTGGAAACATTAAAATGGGCTTACACGGAATCTGCCCCTAGGTTCATGACACCTGGAACCTATCCGGCCTGCCCTCTGCCATTTTTTTGGGAAAGGGAATATACGGCAGGAAACCCTTATGCAGGGCGACTTATCTCTCAGAGAGGGCCATTCTCTGTGCGATGCTCTTCAGCTCGACAACCTTCAGGGCTAGCTAAGCCAAGCACTCCACCCTGTGCCATGGACCACAGTCCTAGGGGTGCAGGAGCTGGTTGGCTTAAACCTTACTGCTTTAACATAGATAACTACATATCAGTAGAGGCTCCCTGTTCCAGGGCAGCCAGCGCTGTGCAGATAACCACTTTGTCCCTATGACTTTGGGATTTGAGTCAGCAG